GGCAGCCAAGTTGCCTCTCCCCCAATTCCCTTCTCCCCCCTGTTCCCAGGTGCCTTCATCGATCCCACCTTCTTCCTGAGCCGAACTGTCTCCAATGTCATCAGCTCCATTGTCTTTGGGGACCGCTTTGACTACGAGGACAAAGAGTTCCTCTCACTGCTGCGCATGATGCTGGGAAGCTTCCAGTTCACAGCTACATCTACAGGGCAGGTGACTGATCCAAACCTGGCTCTACTGGGGCCCTAGCACAACCAGCCACCGTCTCCCTAGGCGGACTCAGGTGCCCCAAACTCCTATCCTCCTCCAGACCAGGGTCCCCTCAAAACCAGCCTTCTCCCTTGAACAGCTGAACAGTTGCACAGGAACTCAGGGCAGGGGCCCAATACCCAGTCTCCAGTACCTGGATGTCTCAGCTGATATTCCCCTTACAAAAAAAGAAAGGGAAGGAAGGAAACCTGGAGGTGTCTCAGTCCATCTCCTCTAAATCCGTGGACAAGAGCCTTCACCCTGATCTCTCATGAAAGCTTAGATATCTGTTTCCATCCAGTACCATCTACACACCTAAACACCTGCACAGGTGCCTTTACCGGTGCCTCCCTTGCCCCGAAACAGGCCCCACTCCCTTCAGGTGAAGTCTACCGACAGCTGTCCTTCCCTTTCCTTCTCCCCCCTCAGCTCTATGAGATGTTCTCCTCAGTGATGAAACACCTGCCGGGGCCACAGCAGCAGGCATTTAAGGAGCTCCAGGGGCTGGAGGACTTTATAGCCAAGAAGGTGGAGCAGAACCAACGTACACTGGATCCCAACTCCCCGCGGGACTTTATTGACTCCTTCCTCATCCGCATGCAGGAGGTACATGCCAGCAGGCAGTGCAAAGAAGACCAAAGCCTAGCAGAGGAAAACCTGGTGGGGATCGGGGGATGGGGAAGAACAGCAGCTCATTCACATGACCCCCCATCATAATCCTCAGAATCCCAATTATAATTCACTGTTCACTCAACTGAGCCTTTACCCATGGTCAGGACTTGTGTGTGCAAATCATCATAATAAGCACGTCTATACCACTCCTGTGCACCGGGCACTATTTAAGAACTTTATGCTATTCACCTATTTAACACTCACACCAGCTCTTGGAGAAGATTCTACTATGACTTCAATATTACAAATGAGGAAACTGAGGCCCAGAGAGTATAAGTGCCATGCCTGGGGTCACACACCTAGCTCCAACTCTGGTCTTTCAGACTCTAAGGCTGGTGCTTTTAGCCACCATGCTCTTACCTTTCATTCCTTGGTTAACAGAGGTGATCTGTCTTTACTATATGACATTGGAGGGTCCCCACTCCTAACTGGA